AACGATAAAGGGTGTTGATCAGGTGGCTCAGCCATCTTAGGATGATAATGGACCAAAAATCTAATCAAAGCGGTTTTGATCAAATTGCATTTCTTCATCACAATCCAATCATATCACCCATCAGGGTGAAGATCACCTATCACCCTGATGTCATAGCCGGATGAATATGACACAGGAATATCTCTCGCGTGGCTCAATCGGTAATTGGTCGTTTTCACTTACACGGCCGCGGTTTTGTCAAACACCGCGTAAAATGTTTGTACAGGTCAAGACCTGTCGAACTGTCATTGTATAGACGGTGTTTATTCACGCCGTGGGTGGAGATGCTCTCATCGTTCCACTTCCTCTTGAAGCTGACAGCAATGCCTTTCGATGCTCGATTACGTATGAAGTGGAGCGGCAATTTCACAATTGTCAGTTAGGAGCGTTGTGGAAGTATACTGACACTCCAATATTGTGCCGATGACATTGGCTAAGAAACTTAAATTGTAATATTTTCAGTCTGAAATTACGGTGCCACGACATTGACTCGGAGGGTATTGACAAAACGTCATTACTGCCAGCAATATACTTTGCAGAATAATGTCACGACGCATTGCACAAGTCTCGACCTATAGCCTTACAACTATATAACAATCTGAGCACCGCCATTCCCATATAAATAATGAACCACCCTAGTTAATGTACGTTGGCAGTGAAAACAAATCCGCAGTACCATGATGACATGTTTTTCGCCTACCATGCGTCCATTAACTGTATATTGGTTAGTGTGCTGCATTTCCATTCGCAGCTTGTGCGTACTTTGATATGCCATTTTGCTCTAGCCGTCAATGAGAAACCCATAACGACACCCACGACGGTGACAGTGTTTCCCCGTCGTAGCACCGCTGGGTCAATACGGTGCAATGTTGCAGTATCACAGTAGTACTCCACATTGTCGCTGTTGACCTGTTATCCGTAAAGAAATTGTCAATGTCTATAGCATTTCAATACCATCTAGTACTGACATTTGCGCCGGCAGACGAATGCATAATGTTGAAAACGATGTCCGTGGTACTTTCGTAGTGCGAATTTCTGGCTATCACGCGCCCACGCCCTGCCGTCGTCACACGTGATAATGATCCTTCCGCAAGTGAACGATCTATGCCAACATTGACCATGGATGCTGCGTCAACTTTAAGAACGTTGTACTGTCGTTCCCAAAAAGCTTGCCAGCTGGAAAAATTTTCATCGAGCTGGTGGTCTGTGCGCGCTGTCAGAATCTGACAAGAGAAGACAGCAGAGAACCTTTCTCTCTTTCAAAGTCCTTAGCTTTGAAAGAGAGGGAACCCTCTTTTTCGAATCCACAAATCCAATTTTTCTTTCCCCATTATCCTCCAAACCACAACGTCCGTTTTAAATTTTGAATTTTTTATTTTTTATTTAGGTCATTGCTTCGACTCAAAAACAAAACAAAACGTTTGGCTCAACGTGGTTCCTTCAACATATGACTCGGCTTTAAAACTTGATTGTAAGTCCCCAAAAACTTGGCTTGATAGATCTGCTTAACCTGGTCCAGTCGACTCGAAACTCGCTTTTCAATTATAACTTGCGATGATTAGTATTGGTTCATCTTCAACCAATTAGATGTCATCAACTCGCTTTTCCAATATCTTTTTTTCAATTGTTTGTTTTCACCTTCAACCAATCGGACACAGCAATTTGTAGTCTTCTTTTGTTCATTGAGTTGATTTTCAATCGATATCTTAGTTTTTTTCAAAGTTTGGTTGTAACAAGTTATCGGTAGAAAAAAAACAAGAAAGATCTCAATTTCAATAAAGTGAATTAATGTAAACCGATAACAAACTGAGCAGGTTGATGTTCTTTTCAACTAAGGTTGAAGTCTTTTCAAGCGAGGTCCATGTCTCATGTTCAAGAAATCATGAGACACGTCTGTTTTTCAAAAAGACAAAGAGGTCATTAAATTTGTTTGCTGAAATTTTTAGTGCTTGATTCGGTATCAATTTTAGGTCTGAATTGAGGACACCTCAACAGAATATAACTCTCAGTGAGAGACAGGCTTTTGATCATTATGAAAAGGAATAGAAAGGTTAGAGCCCTTTGTGATTGCATTAATTGATTCGATTCAAGTCAATTGTTTTCGACTTTTTTTGGTTGATTGGCTCAATCATTGGTTCAATCTGCACCGATCATATCGACGTGGAAGACTAATAACAATCCAGTAGATTTCATTTTAACAGTCTATCTACTAAACTAAAAACCAAGAGTTTTGCTCCAAAACTAATTTGACTCGGACAGGTTATCATCTAAACTAACTGATTTCCAGATATCTAGATAAGGCAGACAAATTTCTTTTCAAAAGCCAATCAGAAATGAAAAGACAATTGCATGAGGTTTGAGTGAACAGGATAAGCAGATGGCTCGAGTGGTTAGAGTGAGCTTGAAGAACTGAAACCAAAAGGCAAAAATTGATTTTGAAAGCCGAGTTTTGAGTCGAAGGGACCAGGATAAGCAAATCGATCGCTTTGTTTTGAGGTCGAAGCACCACGTTGAGCCAAACGTTTTGTTTTGTTTTTGAGTCGAAGCGATGACCTACACTACGGTCCAAACTTTAAGGGCCCTTTTGTACTCAAAAGGACCATAGTCACGACATCTCCATTACATTTCAGGACATCTCCCAGTTCCAAATATGGTATGTACTCAAAACATAAACTTGATAAGTTTGCACGAAACACATCTTCATAATGAAGAATGCATGTAAAGCTGATGTACTCGAAATATAAACAGAAGATACATTTATTCTAGCAGTCCAATATATCATCAGAACATAGATGTGCCCATCTATATACCCAAGACATAGCTCGTATATAACTTTTGTTTTCATAGAAGAGGACCTCAGCTTAAAGTGACCA